CAGTAATAAACCAGGTCACCAATTCTGTAGCTTTAACGTAAAGATGTGAGTGGTGTATACTGTGGTTTGAAAACTAAGTTAAAATAATTAAAAACTTATAATTAGTAGACATATTTGAATAATACAATGGCTGCAAATTAGGAAACCTGGTTAGAATAGAATAATGTTTGCAATCTGAGAGATTGTTTTATATGTGATAATGTTTGTAAAAGAAATGAGTGTGCTTTAGACGCGCATGTTCACGTTGAAAAGTGAGATTTTACTGTAAGCATTTGCCTGAAACTGAAAATTTTTGTTATCAAAGTAATAGTGGCAATTTGGTTTTAGATGGCACAAATATATAAAATGTTTAAATTCGTTTTGTATTGAACATTTTAATCCTGGCTACTTACAGTATGTTCTGAGTGACTATTTATGTAGAGGTTGAGTAAGTTATATTAAAACGATATCGAAGCCTCATCACGTCATTATAGTCCATGTCGCCATGTCCGGTCATGTTCTATCTGACAACGCGTCTTGACAATGCCACAAAATGGTTGTTTCCATTGGAAAAGAGTCTGTCGTAAGGCTTTCATGTTCAAAGCACGCCTCTCCTCACTGTTGCTTTCCATAACCACTCTAGTGTAGGAAACCAACAGTCCGATAGCACAGAACTCTAAAGGTGTTGCGTCTGGCCTTCGAATGGAATAGCATTTCATTTCATTCTGCAGTTGCTTAAGAAATGGGACAGTTGTAAGATTATATCGTGGAAATAACTTGTGTATACGTGACTTGTGTCGCTTTTCCAGATGGAAACCTTATTATTCATATTGCATTCTGTTGCCTAGGGCACGTGGATGGCGTTTTTCACGGACTTTTGTATTCGGTCTTGCAAATTACAAATCTCCGATCTGAACACAGCTTTATGATTTGAGTGCATTAATATTTTGTGTTGGAAAGAGCTGTTACATACCCTTCCCAAAAGCAGCGAACAATTTTCGATGGCATTACACAACTTATGCGATACGTCAAACAAAACCAAAATGTAGTTCTGATACATTCCGTTCCACCACGACTTAATACCAGCTGCTGACATCACGAGATTGCTGAATTCTATACTCAAAATCGTTTAAACATAACAATCAGATCTATAGTATTCCCTGATTAGCCATTTATGGTAATTAACAATCACCATTTAATAGCTAAATCTGTATACTTTTTAATATATGTATTAAATCCTGACAAATAAATAAATGTGATATACGCCAATTTACAATTCGCTTTGATTCAATTACTACAGAAATAAAAAATAATATATATATGTGTGTGTGTGTGTGTGTGTGTGTGTGTGTGTGTATTTATAATGCCTACTGAATGGTTATCTGGGTAAACGGAATTTTTAAGAATATTTACATTATAATGCTGGACCCAGAAAATGGCTAATCCTTCTTAGTTAGTTTATTTTAAACTTTTTTTTTTGACAAAACCTAACTTGTGGTGCTACATGTAGTATATATTAAACCTTACTATTTCTTGCAACTTTCCGAAAGCTCTCAGGTTATCGGTTTTCATGAGAACTGAGATTAAAAATAATCTTATATTAGAAATAACATGTTTTAGTCTTAACCTAAAAATTTTATAAATATTTACCTTAAGTACTATATGGAACTTATTTAGCACATACACTTTTTTTTTTTTGTCCACGAAAACTAAGCTTTGCATAAGCTGGTGCAAAATGCTATTGTTAAACTAGGTAATACAAGTAGAATACTTTGATGTAAGCTTTATAAATATACACACAACTTTGTACTTCTTTATAAATATTTTTTTCAATAAAGTGCTTTATTTAATCTAAGCATGGTGCCCCGTTTTTAAACTATTCTAGGTGTTTAACGATACTGCTGACAGTCTGGAATTCTCAACAACTACGGAATACCTCTGCTGTTGTTTATTTTGGACGCTAATAGTTCAATCTTAGCTAAAAGGGTCTAATCTATAATAAGAAAATAACGTCTACATTGTCTCAAGGTGTCTTCAGTAATAAAGTTCCCATTTTGTTTGAACAGATTTCTTTTTTTTTGTATTTATGATAATATTGCAGGGTTAAATTTTCTCATCTTTCCTGTTATGGCCATGGTAATATTATACCAAATGTCGCGTTATTGTTTCTCATGAACTGTAGCGTGAATAATTATTTACAATCAGTTCTGATGACAGAGCTATCAATTTTTAATTTATGCAGGTGTCTTTAATTTAACTTTTGTTTGGGCTTGTTTTGTCATTTATCACAGGTTTAGATTTGCTGTTTTTAATGGAGTCTTTCCTTTTGACTTTATTTTGCTTGACTGTTTAAGTATTATAAGTTTTTAACTGTTTAAGTTATTTTCTAAACTTTATTACGACACACCGACCGTTTATTTTTCGGTTACTGTTGTTATTTGGAGTGCATGATGGCATAAGCGATTGATTTGGTGATTATATCAATGGGATGGCGCAAAAAAGAGGTCACGATAAAAGGTAAAGTTGGCAAAACATTGCAAAATTAAATTTCATCATCGATACTGTTATAGATGTTATTATTGATTTTCTTATTGTTCGTCTCTATGGTGTTTGAGATGACTGTAGTGTAATGTACTGTTTGCTAGAGATATGTGACTCTGTTTCTAGTAGAAATTAATTATACTTGTCATAAGACATTAATATTAGGCCTATTATATTTTTATCACAGTATTCTTTAACTAGTCCTTTAAGAATTTTCAAAAATTAGAATACTGTATAATAATGATATTCCAACCACACTATGGTCGTCATATCCACTGCCGACGACGCGCTTCGCTCAATCCAAAGCTCATCAGGCCGGTTGGAATACTATTATACATTCTTGAAAATTCCTAAGAGACTAGATAAAGAATGCAGTGTTAAAAATATAATAGGCTTAACACTAATGTCTTATGACGAGTATAATTAATTATAATCATGCTTTCCAACTTAGAAAAGGCGTTCACACTATACCATTGTTCTATTTTTACAATTATATAAAGTTACCGGAAAATTAAATACAAAAAACAATCAATAATAATAGGTTTTAAAGTCAAAATTCCATTAGCAGTAATAGTGTCAAAAAGTTTTAAATGGCAAATACTATAAAAATAAATTTAAACATCATTAATATTATTAATTATGGAAGGTTAAAAACTATCACCATTATATACGCCAAGACATCCACCAACGTCTAGGTTCAATACATCATGAACAATAAACACAGAGGTTGAACAACATTCAGTGTTAAGATGAATTCACAATAGCATTAACAACAAAAGAGCATTTTAAAAAAGTCACCGTTTGAATCACGATTAAACAACCGTTAAGAAGTTACCAGTCACTTCAATACCACAGTTTCAAAAAATTGTCAACCTCGCACTTACTCAGTTTTCCTTTCTGCTTGTGATTTAAAAAAATCGCAAGGTACATGTAAAATTTTATTAAAAAGTAATCAATTTTGTTTCATTGGCCTTGTACTTGTTACTAGCGATAATGTGTTTGTGAGTTGGGTCAATATTCTAAATATGTACTGATGGAATAAGAAGAGCAAAATAAATCTGGTATTCAAAATATAATTTCATTGTCATAAAAAAAACGCTCGTTATAGAATAAGGTAGCAAAAATATACTGAAAGATAATACCCGATGGTGCGGCAACAATGGGTGCTGAGGGTGCGGAATGCGTGGTTTCCCTTTATATCTGGGGGGTTTCGGTTTTCTTCAATCGTTGTGAGCACCCCTTCACTAAAAAAAGTTGTTCCAGCGTCAACGGTTATACCACGTATTAGGAACTTATTTCCGAATTACAGTATTCAGACATATAAATATTTGCGTTCGAGCTTTCTGTTTGACAGACAAGAGGTATAGACCAAATGTTTGAAACTCAACATTTTTTATAGATAAACAGATGTCAGAAAATGTTTATGGGACTTCTGATTAGATCATTCATGCTCAATATGTAGAGAATACGTTTTATAAGGGCCCCAGTAGATCAGCGGTAATTTTACTGATTTACAACGCTAAAATCGTGGGTTCGATTCCCCCGCGATGGACTGAGTGCAGACAGTCCAATGTGCAGTTTTGCGCTAAAATAAATTGTAAATCTGATTTAAAAACTATGGTGTTCATACATAGAAGTCAGTTTTCTTGTTTTGATATTGTACTTGATACATTAAATGTTAAGACTATAGAACGTACATACAAGGGAGCCAATTCACGTTATGTGAACAATGATTCAAAATGTTTATATACAGAGTATAATATTACATAGGTGTTGTAACACGAATTCAATAATCTCACACACTGTATACCGTTAAACACATCTTACACAAGCTAGGCTACTTGTTAAAAATTTTGTATTGCACTTTATACAAGGTACAAAGAAAGATACAAAAGGATTAGACAACTTGTTTGGAACTGAAAACTTTGAACCTAGTATATAAATCGACAAATAACTAGATCGTATATTTGGAACTTTGATTCATATTAACATTTACATCAAACAAAAGAATTAAGATAATAAGAGTACACTTATAATGTATTCACGTTAACATTTTAACTCGTAACAATTATGTATGCCACTAAAGTAAAACACTGAAAGGACAGTATTGATAAATTTTATTTTTTTAGTTACAGTTAAAGAGTTACTACACATATGGATTTATTATATTCGGATTTTTCCTTTTAATTACACATTTTAGCATATCTAAATGCTCTTTGGATGTACTCAGACATACAGTTGAGAATCCTAGTGCGGTGAGTTTAGCTGTAATGAGATCATAATTATGATTTAATTCATAGATTATCAAAGACAATAAATTATAATCTTAGGTGTGATGTTTTCAAAAGCTTCAATAGCATTAGTGTCAGCATATTCATAAGGCACATGCAAAAAAGTGAAAAAAGATAAAAAGTAAACAAAAAAAAAGGGAGGAAAAAAAGAGCGGTCGGGTAAAGGAAGGCAGTGAAACATTGGCCTACCATAGCGGCGGTGTTAGCTCTGCTTTGGGCAGCCTTTAGTTGTGACTGCAAGTGAAGCGGCGGGTGAAAGTAGCGGCATGGATCCCGCGTGCACCTTCCCTTTATGAAATCCATACAGACCGTCACCATGCCTTCTGTACTGTCCACAGTCACATGCTCAGGTGGATGAGCGAAACGGCACTCGGTTTCAATCCGTTTACAGTTGCCGCGTTGAAATTCTCGGCAAACCTACAGGCAAAGGAGAGGCAATGCAGGAGAAACCGTATTAACAAAGCCAGCGAACAGCCACGACAGCTAAGTGCAGTAAGAAGAGAAAAAGAACAAAAAAAAAGTTGAGAAAAGCGGTGCAAGAACATAAAGATGCAAAATGGGAGTGAACACACGCAAATAAAGAAACGCAATGAAAAATCAAATTAACAATTAAAATTTTAGAATCTATATATTACATCTATAAACTTCGTGCTTTAACAATGAACTCTCATTCTTGTGTAAGTATAAGTACTTCGGTGTTAATAAAATATTCTTAGCATAATAAATTTAATTTCCATTCTCATTTCTAAGGAAAATAACATTGATTCCTAAATTCGCCTTGAGGATAGAAGGATTACCTTCCAGAAGCATTTCAGTTAAAGAGTTGCTTGTTTTATGATTTATAAAATTTTAAATTCTACGAACAATGATTTCCTTTCATTTACGATTATGCCCATTTTGTAATTTCTCGGGAATAATTTATAAAATCTCGCAAAAGATGGCGCTAATATATAAAAGTTATCATCTCAGATGATACCTTCCAACCGAAGGAAAACATATAAAGTGAAATAACAAGGCTTACAATTAACCTATTACTTTGAACCACATTATACGAAACACAAACATACACACACACAAAATTACAGTCTCCAGTAGTTGGTAAAAAAAGGAATTTTAAATGAAATTACAAAAGAAGTAAATACCTTTAAATTTTAGCAAATAAAATCTATTTTAGTTTGCCGTACACTCCATACAATTGATAATGCTTTTAATAAGCTTATTTATTATCATCTTAATATGGCGGAGCAAACTGACGATCCTCAAATATATTAAACTTCCCAAAAACACTAAAATCATAGCTTAAAAGATATATTGAGCTGGTTGTACTACTTAAATATATATATATAGATATATTAAAATAAATGGGGATTAATTTTAAATTATCAGTTATAATGTGTTAAACATTAAGCTCAGGAGTTTAAGATGCTTGACAATTAGTGTAATAGCTACGATAAACAACAGCAAACTTAAGTTTTAAATTTACTTTAATATGAGCTTAAAATGTATACATGGTATATATGAATGTAGCAGCCATGACTGCTCTCCGGTTGACTTTGTGTTTTTCTCGTTGTACGGTAATCAAATGTCTAGTAATATGGACTACAGTCGTTAACATTTTCTCGAAAGATCATCCAAACATTTCTGTACAACACGCGTAACCAAATGTTCGAAGTTAACATAAGTCAACCTTACAGCACACTTCCTTCTAACTGGTAATCCATCGTATAATAAACATACATTATTTATTCCACTTTAATAATGACAAACAAACAATAATTTGACAAAAATAATAAGGAAAGGTACGAAATTAGTTAAATCAACAAATCATCCATGTACTGTATGTATAAATAGTTCATTTTGAATCTAACGCAGAGTATTCTTTCATTTCTTCTAACGTAAACGTTTCGTATAATAAACATACATTATTTTTTCCATTTAACATTATTCGTTTAATGCCTTTAAATATATATTTACGCTACTGAAAGTGTAAATTCAACAAGTTTCATCTGTAAACGTTTCGTATAATAAACATACATTATTTTTTCCATTTAACATTATTCGTTTAATGCCTTTAAATATATATTTACGCTACTGAAGGTGTAAATTCAACAAGTTTCATCTGTAAACGTTTAAAGTGTAAATTCAACAAGTTTCATCTCAGTAGCGTAAATATATATTTAAAGGCATTAAACGAATAATGTTAAATGGAAATAAATAAACACTAAATTTTCCCAAACATTTCCTAGAACTGTAGAATTTCACACCTTTATTGTTAAGGGAAACTATTTTTTTTATCACTGGATGTTACGATAATCGACACAAACACTTCTGGTTTTTTATAGCTAGGGAAGTTACTGCTTTTGTAACGAAACAAGTGATTTTATTTATATCATAATATACGTTTCATATTGTCTAACTATAAAAGAAAAATTATCGTAAAAGCGATTTAACCACATTGGTTAATTACTGTGAGGGTAATCAACCTTATCAATATACATTATTTACATAGAGCTTGCAAATACTTCTGAAACTATCAGATATTTATAACATTAAAATGCAACCAAATTCTTTGTGGGTTTTATATGTTCTACAATTCTGATAAAATTGAAGGTATTAGTGTAACTTAGAATAAAATAATTATCTTAATTTCTTTAAGCGTTGTACCACTGGCATTAAATGAAATACATTATTATTATATTTCCAATATTTCAAAGTTAGACTAATTAACACTTTCATTTCCTCAATTATCCTTTCTGTTAATTATAAGTTAATTTTTTCAAACAAAATGATTGATCCACTTACCTCTAACCTATCAGTACGAGGCACCTTTTGGGTTGTGATCATAGGAGTGGGTATAACACTCAGAGGTGCTGCCATGGCTTCGGCAGGCATCATCCCCATCATAGGACTTGGACTAAAGTAAGGACTGAACGAAGAAGCTGTGGCCATGGTGGGAAGGGTGGCCATGTAAGAATTTGTTGCAGCCTTGAAAGTCAGAAATAAAAAACATCAACACTTTTACGGACACAGAGTAATAAAATCGGATAGGTAATATTTTGCTTCTAAATGTAAATCAAGATATTATAGTAAATTTCAATCATTGTCTACGGAATATTAGAGACATCATACATAGGGATGATTTGAAAAAAACAAAAAACTTTATCTTGTGACATAAAATACGACATTCAAACACATGAAAATATCTAGTTTTATGCGATAAATCTGAAAGATGCTAAAGTAAAAGTTTTTATTCTTGTGAAAAAATAGAAGCAATAGCGATTTATCCTCATAATTTATTAGCTTTTATTTAATGGTAAATGCATCATTATTTTTCATGTATATTTTACTTCCTTTTCAGTCACCCGGTGAGTCAACAGTAAGTTTACGGAACTACAATGCTAAAACTCCGAGGTTCCCACGACGGACAGCGTGCCTATTGTATAAGTTTGTACTAAGAACACAACAACAACTTTTTTTCCAAGCTTAAAGGTTGACCAGAAAAAAAAATGGCAGTAAAACAATCGTTTAAACTGCAAAGAATTGCTTTTTAAATTTTAAATAGTATGGCTTAAGAATGAGTATATTTTGCTTCCCAAATAAAACACTGGATCAGTTGAACTATCTAATTTAACGTAGTTTTTCAACTTCTGTAATATATGTAGAGAGTATACAAACTGTATTCATATCTACATTAATTCAACATTATAAAACTATATATTGTCAGTTCAAAACAAATACCTTCCACTCTTTACATGGTTGTAAAAAATATTACTGGAAAACCAAGCAAAGTAGAGCGATGGTCATTTTCCTTGCGAACTTTCAAACCATATAAAGAGATAAGCACTAATACCAGGACCTAATCTCGTGTTGAAATATTACAATTTATGATATGAAATCAGGGCGAGTTAGTGACAGGTTAAAACTCATACGAGACGAACAAATAAGCACTCAACAAAATGGAAGAAATTGTAGAGGACATAAAGTTTAAAGCTGAACGTTTCCTTGTGTATTCAAATAAGCAATGAATGATACACATTCATACACGGGTATACCACAGTGCCTTGTTCATAACTTCCACTTGGTTGATTTTTCTAATGATTGATTACTGTGCAATAGGGGAACCCGAAAATAGCCATCACTTAGTCTTCCATAGTTGCTGGGTAATAAAGTTGACATCAATGTTAAAAAACATTTTCTCTTGTGGTGAAATATTTGTTATTATTTCCTAACAAAAACGCAGTTTCGAGTTAAATATAGGTTCTTATGTATGTATATATGTGTGTGTGTGTGTGTGTGTGTGTGTGTGCGTGCACCCAGTAGTGGATGTTTGGAGTTCTAAAATTCCAATTAAAAAAAAAGGGAGATTTCGTTTGAAACTTTGCCAGAATCAAATGTAATACAATAATTTATTACAAAGTGCTTAATATTTTCAACCCGAATGACATTTTAGGCGACATATGGGATGAACAGCCAGATCATAACTTCATAGTTATTCCTTATACAGAACTGCTGTACAGAAGAAAAACAACCAATCAGTAACAACCGCCGCTTATATGGCTACTGTTTAACGAACAGCGGGATTGTCTATTGTGCCTGAAATACTGCCACAGTTGAACGTTCAGTGTGTGTATAGTAGCATATCATTGTTCGAGCTTTGGACTTTCCTATAAGTAGCTCGGCCGCTAACCACTAATCCATGCCTAACTCATGACACAACTAGAATTATATGGCACACATAAATATACATCCAGTAATGCGTTTGAGTTATACAATATGTTTCGGGATTCTTTCAAACACACACACATATATATATATATTTCTAACAAAATTCTACATCGTACTACACTAATATTATTTTCAAACATACTAAATGCAATTCAAATAAAGTAGTATATTAATAATACGGACATTTTAATTATGAACTCGTTTTTTGGTTAACAGGGGTTATATTAATTTCCATTTAACTTCTATTTCACGATCAACTTTGCGCAGTATCCGTTGCTATAACTTTTATTTTACAAGATCGTTTCACTCTGTTTTTTACTTTTATTTTCAGTGTTAATTGTTATATCGTATCTCATGCATTACTTGTTTTATATATTAAAGTGCTTCTCAACTGGGTGAATCGTTCACCCAGGTTTATTTTGTGTTGTATTCATTCTGGTTGTAGTTTGATGTCCATTTAAGACATAACAACGAATTTAGCATTTTAATTTAGTACTTTTTGTCTTTTTTCGAACTGGGGTGAATGAGCTGTTGTGAAAAACTTATATGGGTGAATGATATTGGAAATGGTTGAGAAGCACTATTACACAAGATCACCTTCATCTTGTTTTCCAGACAAGTATACATGTACACTTATTGCAGTTTTATTGTAGGTTTCTAAAATAAACAGATTGGTAGGATGACCAGGTGAATATCAGACGAGCATATATTCTGACCAACAAAATAATATGATCATGTTCTAGTGGGGTAGGAACCCTTTTATCATTAGGTCACGCATCAAAACGATGCAGCTAATACTCAAACCAAACTGATCACTTGCTCTACTAATGTACACGATGTTCTAATTAGGGTTTCAATGGGGAACCCTGCAGCATAGCCAGGGGCTTGATACCTGTTTGAATTCACAAAATGCCTTTTCAAAAATACCAGTATACTGATGTGCGTTACCTTTTCGCAAGCAGACACAAAAGTAGGCAGTTTTGAAAACGTCAAAAGCACAAATTATGTTTACTTTAAACATTTTTCTTTTGATGCGATAGAATAAAACTTTAAATCATAAAATGCGCCCCCCCAGTGGCACAGCGGTATGTCTGCGGACTTACAACGCTAGAAACTGGGTTTCGATACCCGTGGTGGGCAGAGCACAGATAGCCCATTGCGTAGCTTTGTGCATAAAAACAAACAAAATGCTAAAATATTCATGAAGCTCTGTTAATTCGAATTCATATGGTAACTTATGATTTCGATAAAGTGTTTTAAATAATATAATTGTTTTCTTGGTTTTATTTTGTTTATCTGTTGGATTTCGCGCAAAGCTACCCTAGGACCATCTGCGCTAGCCGTCAACAATTTTGAAGTGATAGACAAGAGGGAAGGCAGCTAGTGAACACCAATCACCACCAACTCTTGGTCTAATCTATTCGTATTAACCGACAACTTATAAAGCCTCCACGGCCGAAAGGACAAGCATGTTCGGTAACGGGATTCGAACCCACAACTTGAAGGTTATGAGTCAAATACTCTAGTCACTAGATTATGCCAGGCTCTTTATTTTGAATATATTGTATATTTGAACTGTCTCCAGTTTCGTGTAAACTAAAAACAAAATATATCTAAACCAGTTTCGGTACCCGTGGTGGGCAGAGCACAGATAGCCCATTGTGTAGCTTTGTGCATAATTACAAACAAACAAACTTTAAGAATTTATTTTTCTTTCTGAGCAACATTACACAGTTTAGTTTTGTTACATTTCCTAAAATTGAATCATTCATTTTTATTTAAATTTTTATATATGAATAAATCATTATAATTAGAAAGTCACTTCGTTTAATACACGTGAATTTTTTCTTCCAGATTGCTCCTAAAGGGAAAGAAAGATATAAAATATTTTTGTTTATCTTAAAATTTGATGATCGATAAATTATAGCTGTATAAAACTTTTATTTTAAACAAATGCCCAACATTCTGTTTCTAATTGCTTTTTTTACTTTTATAAGACATTCATAAAAATACATATTCTATATAAAAATATTTTAACATGTTATTTTAAAGGAAAGAGTAGATGTAGAAAAAGTTCTATAATCAAATTAAACTTAGAAAAAATCTAATGGATCCCGAATGTGGAAAAAAATATTTAGGATTTATTGATATTTTGTACTTTATACGCTTTAGAATCATAGTATCTGTAAAATAAGTAGAAGCCAAAGTTTAAAGCTCAAAATATTTATCAAGCGGTTCATTACACTGCCACTAATAATGGTTCAAAACTCAAGTGTTCAGTTGCTAGGTTGCCAGTAGAAAACGACTGGCAGCTGAAAACGGTAACCATACACGAAATGCCTAATGTACAAACCTATTTAAATATACACGCATTATTACCATAATCAAGTATGAAAAAAAAAATGCATAAAAGTTATTGCGTGATTTAAATCAAAATCCTTTGTTTCTAAGACTTATATGAGACAAGCAACTTTTGAAAAAGCAGTATGTACTTCCAAACTCTTCTATAGTAACGTGTAATTTTACTGTAATATAAAGTAAACATCTTTAAAATATTTGTGCAGTTGTGTGTTGCAACACTGACTGATAGGCGTGGTTATTATATGTCATAGAGCTTGCTGAAGATATAAACAGAGAAAATAATAGGAAATAAAACCGTCCTGTAACTAATGCAGTTACAAAGTGAAATAAAGCATTGGATAGAGCGAGAGTTATGCCAAACTCTGCGGAATTGGCTTAACTTTGAGTAAACGTAAACTATATAGTGAAAACAGACCGAGATATTTTTTTCTTTGCTCTTTGGAAGATTACCTGTTATATAACTAATTAAATTTTATTTCGTAATACAACTCAATTTTTTTGTCATTTCCCAAAGAATTCAGGAAATATCAGTACCCAGTACTTCATTTTTGATTTAGATAGTTCTAGTACAGGAATATATGAAAAGAAGCCATACATAATTTGTTATACAGTTTACAACATTTAGTTTAATACAAGAATCAAGAGCGTTAAAGCAATCCTTCTCATGCGTTATAAAATAATGCTCATTAATGGGGATTCTAAAATACATGTCAATATGTGAAGCTTAGGTATAAAACGCACGTCAGTTAGATATTTTTAAGGAAATCTTGCTGACAGGAAGTAATCAATAAGGCTTAAGTAACAGACCAAGCAACGATAACTGACAAACTTCTAAACATCGTCTCGGTTTGGGTATTATGTTGATCTTGTTGTTATGATATACACACTAACTGTTTATA